AAAAGATTTGGTTGATGACAATTCCTTGAAGTATAAAATTGTCTATAGAGGTTCCCGTTTTGGTATAGCCCCCCATCACCTACTTTATGGATTTTTGAAAAACTGAAAAAAGTTTTGGTTTAAAGTGGAACACGTTTTAATTCAGATACATTTATACAAAAATGTTTTCTTTGCCCAAAAGTGAAGGGTATTAAAAGTTCGTCCCGGCCGAACTTAATGTTTTTTTACTTGTCATATATCATGTCTTTTGACAAATTTTTGGCTACAAGTCATTTCCATGTTGAAAGCTAACAGGATAAAATAGCATTTAAAGCTTCGTAGTTATCCTTTCATATGTATATTTTATTGAGAGAAAAAATCATATTTTACTGCAGTATTTTTTGGCTTTTCCATGTTTGTAAAACTGTACCTCGGTTCAAATAATGTTAATATTATATTTATAAGCTCTTAGAATTAGTTTTATATATAACTGAAAATTATTTATAAAATTCGATTGATTTAGTATTCCACCCTTAATTTTGTATTGCTTTGAGGTTAATGTTTCCACTTTTTATTTAATTTTATTCACTTTGAAAGCACTTTGTGGGTATGTGTGTCTATGTATTGTATATACCATGTATTTTGACATTTTATACAAATTATATTTGAATGCTGTTGAAATAATTACACCTTCTTTGATGACTATAGTATATTTATTTGCAAATTTTTGTTAATTTTATATATTTTTGATTTGAATATCTTTAATTTTTCATTTCTTTGATTTATAATTTGTTGATTTATTTTTGATTTTCGTTTTTTTTCTTATGTTTTTTTTACGTATTCAACTGAACAATCTACAATGAATTCTCCGTACTTGCTTGCCATTTGCAATGGTATGCCATCCTTTAGCTGTCGGTTCACTGCAAAAGCTGGGACGAAAAATGTCAGCGGTAAGCCAGAGTAATTCTTCAACACATGTCGAATTGAGCGTGAAGTAGGATAGAAGCGAGTGCAAGACCACCACCACCACCTGAAAGTTTTCCCCCCGAGCCCCATACCCCCAACACACACACAGAATTCCTTAGAGAGGAGCCGAATGCCTTGAAAGAAAAGGGGAAACAAATCACAGTTAAATAAGCTTTTACATTTAAGTTAAATATAAAATTTGAAGAAAAAAAAAAAGAAATGAAGAAAAAAACTCCCATTAACAGAAAGAAATTAGTATAAAATATTCCATTAAGCTTTATTTTTTTGTTATTATTATTATTTTTTAATTTGTATTTTGTTTTTGATTATTTTTTAATGCTTCTTTTAAATTATTTTGTTAATAGTTTTTTTTTTTATTTATAAATTTTCTTTAGTTGAAAAAAAATGAAAATAATATATTCTTTTTTAAATATTTCTTTGTTAAGTGTTTAAAAGGAAATTCAAGTGAATTGTAAACTGTATGTGTCTTGTAAAGCTGCACCGGCTTTAAGGATATATTTTTTGTGTTACATATTTCCTTTTCTTTATTTAAAGTATTAAATTGATTTCTTTTCCTTTTGTTTTTGTTCTCTACAAAATAATTGTTAACACAAAATTGCATTTTGTCAGAAGCCTACATTATTTATTATAAATATTTACATACATTATTACATAATATAATGATTATAGAGCTCTGTATACATACTACATATTAATATAAATACCTATATTAAATAAAAATAACAATTAAAATGAAAAATATAAATAATGAACAAAATGAAAAAAAGAAACAATTTTATTTAAACTTGATATGGAAAATTTTGTAAAAAAAATGGCCGATTCGTATTAAAGATACATTTTAGAACTCTCCACCATGCAAGAAATTTTATAAGTAGATGGAAAATGTATAAAAATGTATAGGGGTTTTTAGATTGTATTCAGATATTCAACTTAAATTTAGATCAATCTAAGGGAAATTAAAAAAAATACATAATTTATTTGTATTTGAAATTGATTTTATTTATTTATTTTTATTAATTTCATACCATACCAAAAGTTTTTGTCCTGTGTCTAAAGGTGAGAATATATAAAACCCTTTTCTGGCTGTCTTAAGTTATCGGCTGGCTTCCGCGTACATAAGGATTTTCAGATTTACTTAATTCGATTTTTGCCCTACGCTTCTTTGTTCTTTTCCGAAGAAGCCAGCCGATGACTTAAGCCAGTCAGAAAAACTATTTATGTATTCTCACCCTATTTTTTATAATTTTTAGTTTATAAACCGTAGGCTTATGTCTTGCTCTATGAAAATGTAAAATAGAAACACAAACGCAAAATGAAAAATTGTATAAAGGTAACAGCTTTTATTTTATATTTTTTATAGAACAAGTATCCAACCCCTTGGATTTTAATTCAGGCGTAATACAAGAGATGGTTATCAGTTTTCCTATTAAAAGTTGGGAGGGTAATTTTCTCTAGGAATATTTTTAAGACAGGATTGGAAATTTTCAATAATGTTATACATTTATTAAAACTGAAATATTGAATATAATTTTACATATTACTGCCCAAATTTGTTATGAACTTTTCATTAACAATACAAACTTCATAAAAATGTCAAAGGACTCTAATTAGTCATTACAATGTAAAAAATAGTTTTTATTATACCCTCTGTATTGGTCCAAACTTGGTACATAGCCAGATTATTATCTAACTTAGATCTATTTGGGAGATGGACAAAATTGGTCCTCTCGTTTTGGTACCTCCACTACCAAAAGGTTAAAACTATTAAAGAAAAAAAAAATATGTTACTCCATAGAAACAGAAAGGATCATCCAATTTGGTGCAAACCCTAATGTTTTTATCAGTTCTATCTTAGGTGAGGAAATAGATAATATCGGAACACTCCATCAAGTACCACCCGCACAAAGGATCAACATTTTGAATGAGTATAACTATGAGTATTAAAATGTGAAATAAAATTCCAATTATCTTCAAATTTCACACATCTCATATTTTAAAGACAATATTTTAATCATAGAAAAAGCAAGGATCATCCAATTTGGTGTAAATTCTAATATTTTATCAGTTCTATACTCCATCTAGTACCACCAGCACAAAGGGTCAAAATTTTGAATGATCATAACTCTTTTTAAAATGTGAAATAAAATTCCAAATATCTTCAAATTTCGTACATCTCAGTATTTCTATTAACATAAGATCTGGTGTGAAGATGGAATACATCGGTCCACTTCTTCTGGTACCTCCCTCACAAGAGGTCGAAATTTTCAAAAAATATATATTTTATCCACAGAGAGAGAAACGATAATCCGATTTTGATCCAACTTTGCAAATCCTAATTTTGCATCATTGATATGTCAGGTGCGAAAATGAACAATATGGGTCCACTCCATTAAGTATCTCCCCCACAAAGGGTCAAAATCTTGAATTATTATAACTCTTTTAAAGTGTGAAATAAAAGTCCAGTTACCTGCAAATTTCGCATATCTCAATATTTCTATTAACAAAAGATCTGGTGCGAAGATGGAATACATGGGTCCACTTTTTCTGGTACCTCCCTCACAACGGGTCAAAATTTTGAACTATCATGAAATTCATAAAATGCTAAATGAGCATCCGATTATCTATAAAATTGGAACTTCTCAATAATTCTAAGTTCTGGTGTGAATATGGAATATATTGGGCCACTCCTCTTGGTACCTCCCTTACAAAGGCTAACATTTTTGAATAAACAAAAAGTGAATAAAGCTTCCGATTCTTTCTAAACATTACATATCACATTTCTGCTAACAAAAGATTCGGGGTGAAGATGGTATATATTGGTCCACCCTTCCGGGTACCTCCCCCTCAACGGCTCAACATTTTTAAATAATTGTAACTGTAATTTTTCATATTTTTTGCTGAAGAAAAATTAATTAGATCTAAGGGATAAAATGCCATTGACCTGTGGGAGAAATGATTGGCAATTTTGGTTGCAGTAAATAAAAGAAACCGAAATTATCAAACATTTCTCCCTCAGGTCAATGGCTTGCAAAATTTAAGCTTGTCGGAATTTTGGATAGATTAGTCTGAGCATGTCGTCAGTCTAGTTTAAGTTTGAAACAGTTTAGCTTGTTTGGTGGAGAGCATGTTAAATACAAATAGATCCTTTTTTGTTTAAAATTGTTGTGTGTTATAAACAAAAACAAATATTTGCAAATTTTTAAGGCACTTTATATTCTTTTGAAAAAAAAACAAAAAATGCTTCTTTGGCAAAATATTTAAGACATTGTTAATGACTGGCTGTTTGCTCGCTCTCTCGTAAGCTGTTTTGTTATATACATACATACATGCATATATAATCAAAGCTCATTATCGAAGCATAAATCATAAAAAAATGCGCTTCCACCAATTTGTAAACGTTTATATTAACTAACCCCCTCCTTTAAAATCCATCAATCAATCAATCTATCAACCAACCGCCATAATCATTTGTAACATTCAAAGCAAGAACAACAACATCGACATTTGGCACTCTTTTTTGAAAAAAAAAAAAAAAAATGAAAATCAACAACAAATTCATTTTTCGCATTTCAATCATTTATTAAATAACATAATAATGAAATGAAATAAACAAATACCACCCAGAGAAAAGAAATATTAACGAAACATAAGAATTGAGAACATTACAACATATACGACCCATACATACACCCACCCACCCATCCAACAAACCAACCACAACACATGACACCTCAGACCACCACCACCACAACAAGAACAACAATATTGATTTGAAATGATAATTTACACTGAAACAAACACTAAAAATAATCGAAAATAAAACATAACAAATCAAAATACCAAAACAAAAACAATCTCCAGATCAAGTTTCGTAATAACAAAAGCAAATACTACTACTACTATCCCCCCAAAAACCAACAACAACAACAAAATAAATGAAAACGAATTGAATCACCCACCTCTCCAAATCCGGCTTGGAATCCTTGTGGACGCTGCCTTTCAAAATCTATGCCTATGGAAACTGCCCATCTTAGCCACCCCACTTTCTACACCGGCCTCCTCACCATGCGGTACCAAATATCTATCCTATTCCAATATTTTCTTTGCCAACTTCAAAGAGGAACATGAACGCATCTTGGCCGAGAAACTCAAGCAGCAGCCACCACCAACCCGTATACGCACCAATACCCGGCTCTGTCGTGAGACGGCCATTAACAACAACAATGAGAGTTCATCGGCTGATGTCCAGGATTCGAATAATGGTAACGAAACTGCCACAGCAACATACGATTGCAACAATCCAGATCTCTTGGAGAATCTCAATGAGGAAGAGTGCTCCCTGAACAAACATGCCATCAAGGGCAGCAGCAGCACAACAGCCACCAATCAAATTACAACTCAAGTCCATACTGGACAGTCGAAAAAGATTCGCATTACCGAAAATCCACTGCCTGAACCTGTTAGCTGTTAAACAGCCCCACAAGGTTATGAAGAAAAAAAAACACACATACACACAACAGACATTCCCCTTGGCCTGGCGGGCGAGCTGGAAAAAGGGGGACTTGGAAACTAGTTTTGTTTCATTCGATTGATGATGAAATCGAATACCATTTTTTGTAGATGAGTATACACACCACCTTTCTCTCTCTCTCGCTCTCCACCTCATCAACCAACAACACCTGCAACACCTAGCTATGTTTCAAGAAGCGCAGAGGACGACTCATGGCTGCAAATATCGACACCCACGCGTTAAAAAGGAAACTTTTAATCACTTCATTTTTTTAATTCCTTGTTACCTGCAGCGGAATCACGCCCTAGAAGAAAACAAAACGTTGAATTCAAAAAAAAAAGAGTATACTGAAAAAAAAAATCTAGAAATTGATTTAAATTAATTACCGAATATTTGTAGTAGTCCAAAAAGAGAAAAAATAAAACATTCCTAGCAACTTGTTTTAGATAGTGGTTAAGCGGTTTTTCTAGACTCTATAGATTAATGTCTTGGGCACAGGTCAACAATTTGAATTAAGGAATATAAAATAAAATTGGTTTAAGGGCTGTATTCAGTCGAAATTAAAGACGATCTAATTACACTATTTTCATTCAGTCTTTATACCCTAGACCACAAGGTGTTCAGGGTATGATGTCTTTGCGCATTTGTTTGTAACAAGTAAAAGGAACCGTGATAGACCCATAGTTCCTTTTGATGATATCCATAATATCACATTCTGAGTCGATTTATTCATGGAAATATGTAGGAAATAAGGAAAAAACCAATGGGTATAAAAAATTCGGCTCCGCCGAAATTAACAGGTTTTTTACTTTTTCGATCTGTCAGTGGGTAAAACAGTCTTCTCTGCTGCCGGATATTTAAGAATACACCATTAGAAATATTATAATAAATATAATTTTGATTTCATAATTGTGATTCCGATAGTGAATGGGAAAGGCTGTAAATATCCATTCCGGACCACTTATTTATAATTTTTCCTTAAAACATTATCTCAATACCTTAAATATTTTCGTGGTATTTATTCTCTTCTAAAATAATTTATAGTTTATTTAATTGTGTAAATATAACGGTGATTTTTTTTGGTCAAAATATGAATCTTTTCGAACAAAAATCGAAGACTATTCAAAAAAAAATATTTTTTGAAAAATCCACGGCTCGAAGGCTCTTTAAAAACTATTCTTTAAAAAATACATGTCCGGAAGGCTCTTCAAAAAATATTCTTTAAAAAGTCCATGTCCGGAAGGCTCTTCAAAAAATATTCTTTAAAAAGTCCATGTCCGGAAGGCTCTTCAAAAAATATTCTTTAAAAAGTCCATGTCTCGAAGGCTCTTTAAAAAATATTCTTTAAAAAGTCCACGGCTCGGAGGCTATTTAAAAAATATTCTTTAAAAAGTCCACGTCTCGAAGCCTCTTTAAAAAATATTCTTTAAAAAGTCCACGGCTCGGAGGCTATTTAAAAAATATTCTTTTACAAAATACATGTCTCAAAGGCTCTTTAAAAAATATTCTTTAAAAAGTCCACGGCTCGGAGGCTATTTAAAAAATATTCTTTAAAAAGTCCACGTCTCGAAGCCTCTTTAAAAAATATTCTTTAAAAAGTCCACGGCTCGGAGGCTATTTAAAAAATATTCTTTTACAAAATACATGTCTCAAAGGCTCTTTAAAAAGTCCACGTCTCGAAGGTTCTTCAAAAAATATTCTTTAAAAAATATTCCTTAAAAAGTCCACGTATCGAGGGCTCTTTCAAAAATATTTTTTAAAAAATTTACGCCTCAAAGGCTCTTCAAAAATTATTCTTTAAAAAAATTCACGTCTCGAGGGCTCTTCAAAAATATTCTTTAAAAAGTCCACGGCTCGAAGGCTTGTCAAAAAATATTCTCTAAAAAGTCCCCGGCTTGAAGGTTCTTCAAAAAATATTCTTTAAAAAGTCCACGGCTCGAAGGCTCTTCAAAAAATATTCTTTAAAAAGTCCACGTCTCGAGGCCTCTTTAAAAAATATTCTTTAAAAAGTTCATGGATTGAAGGCTCTTCAAAAAATATTTTTTGAAAAATGCACGTCTCGAAGGCACTCCAAAAAATATTCTTTAAAAAGTCCATGGCTCGAAGGTTCTTCAAAAAATATTCTTTAAAAAGTCCACGTCTCGAAATCTCTTCAAAAAATATTCTTTAAAAAGTCCACGGCTCGAAGGCTCTTTAAAAATATTCTTTTAAATTCCATGGATCGAAGGCTCTTTTAAAAAAATATTCTTTAAAAAGTCCACGTCTCGAAATCTCTTCAAAAAATATTCTTTAAAAAGTCCACGGCTCGAAGGCTCTTTAAAAATATTCTTTTAAATTCCATGGATCGAAGGCTCTTTAAAAAAAAATATTCTTAAAAAGTCCACGTATCGAAGGCTCTTCAAAAAATATTCTTTAAAAAGTCCACGTCTCCAGGGCTCTTCAAAAAATATTCTTTAAAAAATCCACGGCTCGAAGGTTTTTCAAAAAATATTTTTTAAAATATACATGTCTCGAAGGCTTGTCAAAAAATATTCTTTAAAAAGTCCACGGCTCTTCAAAAAATATTCTTAAAAAGTCCACGTCTCAAAGGCTCTTCAAAAAATATGAAAACAAATATAAAAATTAAAAAACTAACAAAATATTTCTCATTGTGTAGAGAGCGGCAAAGAAACACTTGAAATATTTTTTTATTTCAAAACACATACACTCACAAAATAATTTTGAATTTCTCTGTCTAGCCCTGCCTTACATCCACTAAAATATTTGATACATTTCATTCTTTTTTTATCTGTTGTTGGCCTGTGCCCCACCCCCTCGTAAATGGTAAAAATTTTTAATAAATCTATAAAAAATTGTAGTGAGCCCCACCCCCCTTCTGTCCCAACGTATTAGTAATCTCTTAAATTATGTTATGACTTTTTTCAATAAAAACAAAAATAATAACCTCTCTCTAGGATTGGTATAAAAAATCTATTCTTTCTCTATCTCCTACTGTTTTAGTTAGAGTTGTAGTCCGTAAAATTAGTAAAAAACGACGAAATCTTAATAGGCTAACAGTTAAAAAGGATCCCCAAAAAATTTATTAAAAATAAAAATTCAATGTAGCAAAACAACAAAATGTCCATTCTAAGTTTTAATCAAAAACTAATTAGGATATAAATTGATGAAACAAAATTAAAATTAGAAATGAAAAACCAAATAGAAAATTCTCAATAAAACAATAAATTATGCCGCTAAAGTAAATAAAAAATGGCTAGCTATAACAATTAAAAAACCTTAAAAATAATGGTTCTATTGCGGACAAAATAGGCATACAAAAATCAATTCAATAAAGAAATAATTAGAAATTTGAAAAAAAAAAACAAGAACGAAAGAATTGTTAAATTAATTTATTTTTTCATTTTTTTTCGTTTCACTTTGTGCCTGAAAACACACACACACAAATTTTTTAAAACCAAAAATAAGAAAAAAAATTCCCAAAAAAAATGAAGCTAACCCACAAATCAATTTATTAAAAGAACTAACAACACACAAAACAGCGAGCTTTCATAACTATTATTATGATTATTATTAATTAATTAAAAAAAAAAAAAATAATGAATAAATAAAATAATTATTGTTGTTATTTAAACATACACAATATTCTAAGATGCAATGAACACCGACAACCATATTTATGTATTTTTTTTTTGGCTTACAAATTTAAAGAGAAGATGAAAAGGAAAAAAAACGAGAAAACCCCGGGATTTTTGAAGGCGCTTTTAGAATTGAATTATTTTTTTTTTTAATTTTTTTTTAATTTCGATCACCTTTTTATGTATATTTAAAATTATTACATGTTTTAAAAATTTAAACCGGAATCGAAGGAAAGAATTATGTAGGGAGTCACTTTAATCTGTCTCTATCTGAGCTAATTGACATGAGGGGCTTAGGATTTTTAAATAATAATTTCTTAGACCTGTAGCAATGAAATCGATCTAAATTGGTCTCCATTTCCTTGTAGCTTTGGACTGTAGCCTTGGACATCTCAGTTTAGGAAATTTTTTGACTGTTGCAGTCATATTTCCCATTGATTTGTTAACAATTAAGCTTCTCAAGAGTAGAAACAGCTTTTTCAGAAAAATAATTGCTACATTCTGAAAAGGATTTTTTTTTATCGAAGGTCAAATATTTATACATTAATTTCAGAAAATTACCATATTTTGGGGGTTTTAGATTTTTTAAGGAAATACCTTCTATTATAATCAAAATTTACAGGGTGAGATAAAAATCTGCAACAAAGTCAAACGACATAATTTTCACACTGTTTTTAAATTTTAATAAATGAAAGCAAAAAATGTCGGAAATTGCAACAAATTCTAGAATAAGTTTAGATTTGTTCGAAATGGTCATCTTTGGCACGAATTATGGTCTTAAAACGACCAATGAAACCGTTACACGCTGTCCGAATGTTGCTCTGAGGTATTTTGGCCAATTTCCGGCGAAGCGCTTGCTTGAGGTAATCGACACTTTGGTATTTTTTAGTGCCAACTTTGCTTTCCAAAATATTCCAGTCACAATAGTGCAACGGATTGATATCCGGAGATTTTGGTGGCCATTATGCACAGGAAATGAAGCGAGGAACCTCATTGCGTAACCATTCTTGGGTGGTGTCTGCTGAGTCCTGTTGGAATGTCCAAGGTCTGCGACCAAAATGTTTGCGTGTCATAGGCTTTAATACTCCCTCCGGAATATTTTCGCAATAATATTCGGCATTTATTCTGATGCCACGGTCGAGCGGAGAACGACCATCGGCTGTTATGGCGGCCCACACCATTACCGTGGCCGGCGCTTGAGTTCTGGTGGTCAACCGAAGGTGTACATTTTCAGCTGACCTCTATGGCAAGTAAACACCATCCTTTTGTTTGTTTACAAACTGCTGGACAGCAAATGTTTTCTCATCGGAGAAAACCAAATTCGGCAGTTCATCACTTTCGGCCAAGCTAAGCAACTCTTTAGCTCTTTTGAATCTATTTTCTTTCTGATGCGGCGGTGTATGTTCTTGCACTTTTTGGAATTTCAAGGGCTCCACCCCGAGCTCATTTTTCAATATTTGCCGAATGGAATATTGCGATATGTTTAGCTCACGAGCCATTTGTCGGCCACTGCAACGCTGGTTTCGATCAAGTCGCTTCTTTACTTTTCGAACAATTTCTGCTGATCTGGAATTTCTGCTCACTGGAATAATTTTAACAGCTGTCGGACGAGTGACTTAGAAATGACAGCCGTCTGAAGTTGGTTGCAGTTTTTTCATCACACCCTGTATATCTGAAATTATTTAAGATTTTATACATTTAAATCCGAATCGAAGGACCAATAAATGTAGAGAGCTAATTTATCTGCCCGTGGAGCTTATTGATATGAGGCGCTTAACTTTTGCAATAAAAATCTTCCTAGAACTGCGGGTATGAAACTGATCTAAATTGGTCTCCATTTCCTTGTAGCATTGTCCTGTAATAAGCATTGTCCTGTTTGACTGTTGTAGTCAGATTTCCCACTGATTTCTTTAAAATTAGGCTTTTCACTTTTTGGAATGAATTCCCTATCGAAGATCTGTTTGATTTTGGGCCTTTTGGATTTTCTATTCTAGTCTATTAAAATCAAAATTGTTATGTTAATATTTTAAAAAATTTCATATTTTAAATATTTTTATACAAATATTTGATAAAAAAATTCGCTGAAGTTTCAATGATAATTAAAAACTATGAAATGTTAAAAAAAATCAACCTCGATTTGAATTGAAGGACCAACTATGGAAAACTTATTCTTCACAACAAAATTAAATACTACATTTTACTTAAGGTGATCAAAAAATTATTTAAAATAGAAAATTATAAAAATAAATTAATGCTATTTTATTAAACAATTGCTTTCTTTTATCAACCACTTTTTGTCACAATAACAAGCGATACCAAGCAATATATATTTTTTCACAGTGCCTCTTCAAAATAATTTACAAGCTAATTTCGGGTAAAATACAAAAAATATATATTTATGGAAATTAGTTAAAACAAAATAATTAAAAAAAATAAATAAAAAATATATACTTAAAATGGAACCATTGTATAGCATATCAAATGTTATTTAAAACAGAAAATAAAATATATTAGAAAAAAAAACAAAAAAAAAAATAAAATATTTATTTACTTTTTTGTAAGAAGTGTATTTATTTTCCAACTAAAAAAAATAAAAAAATATTAAAATAAAAAAAAAACAAAACTAAGAAATACAAATCAAAATAAGAAGTGTTGAAATAAATCGTTACTTTACACAACAAACCACACCACAGCTTAATGTTAAAAAAAAATAAATAAAAAACAAAAAGTTTTGAAAACAAAAAAATATATAAAAAAAAGTTCTCATAAAAAACATATTGTTATAAAATAAAAATAAATAAAAAAAATCAAGCAAATAGGCGTTTAATAAAGCTAACATTAAAAAAAACTCTAAAGAGAAACATTATTATTTAGTAAATGACACATAAACAACAACATAACATCAGATATTTGCTTTTGTAAACATTAAATGATTTAATAAAAAAACACAAAAAATACAATAATAAAAATTAAAAAAAAAAAAAATAATTTAACATAAAATATTGTGCATTCGAAATGAAGCCTATAAATTATAACAAACAAAAAACACTAATCTACATGAAAAAAATAACAGAACAACAACAAAAACAAAATTTATATATAGTTTCTATTCAACAATAAAAAATCATTTGAAAAGGCTTAAAGACTGCTGCTGCAGCTACTGTCAAAGGTATTTTCTTAAGCTGGCGTTAAGGTAAAGGTAAGAAAGGTTTGGGTTTTAAGGTAAGTAGAGGTATTATACTGTGTTCACATTAAAGCATTTTGCCAGGAAGCATTATATGGTGGCTATACGAGGACGTGAACCTGCATACACAGTTTTCTGCCTTAAGCTGTAGTATCCATAACGAACTTCAAATACCAAATTTCTAACATTTCCGGTGAATAATGTCGCTTAAGTTAACAAAGTACCGAATATCGGGTGGTACAATTAATTGGGGACTATACAAGAACGTGGTCCATTTTTAATACCAAAAGTCCTGTAGATATAATTTACATTTTAGTGAAATTTTATCAACCTACTTCATTTCGTTGGGAAGCTAGAGTGATTTCCACAGACGGATAGACGGACGGACATCGCTAAATTAACATATAATTTTTTGCTGATCAAAAATATATACAGAGTGAGATAAAAAAAACCGGAACAAACCTCAGACTGCTGTCATTTCGAAGCCACTCGTCCGACAGCGGTTAAAATTATTCCAGTGACAGCCCATTATATTGTTTAGAAGCGTACAAAATCATTTTGTTGAGAATTTTCCAGAAAAAAAAAAATTATTAGTGATGGAATTCAAGCGTGACCGAAAGTGGTGAACTGCCGAATTTGGTTTTCTCCGATGAGAAAACATTCGATGTCCAGCAGTTTGTAAACAAACAAAATAATCGTGTTTTCTTGCCAAAGAGGTCAGCTGAAAATGGGCATCTTCGGTTGGTCATCAGAACTCAAGCGTCATAACAGCCGCTCGCATTAATCTACCGTGGCAACAGAATAAATGCTGAATATTATCGCGAAAATATTCTGGAGGGTGTAATAAAGCCTTGGACACGCAAACATTTTCAGACCTTGGACATTCCAACAAGACTCAGTACCATCGCACTCAGCACGCGCCACCCAAGAATGGTTACAAAATAAGGTTGCTCGCTTCATTTCCAACGCACAATGGCCACCAAAATCTCCGGATACCAATTCGTTCGACTATTATCAGGCATGTCACAGAAGTTTTACGAAATCGATTTATTTCACCTTTTCCAAATCGGTACGATTTGCTTTTGCTTCTTCAGCACTCGTACGTTTTGACTAATCCGGAAAAAAAATCATTTCACATTTTTGAAATAAAAATATGGTAACTCCATGAAAAAAAAATCATAAACAAATTATTGACAATTAATAAAGGAGTTTAAATTGTTTTTTTATAATATAAACACCAAAAGTAAAAATGCCAGGGGCTTCAATACTTGCTGTAATGGATGAAGAAATAAATCAGCGGTCTACTGAAAAAATTCGTCGCCGGACATTGAGGAACGCATCAGATCCTTTATCTCACTCAAATGCAGAGTAAGGATCCACCAGCAATGAGTTATTTTCAAATTTATTTTCATAATAATTTATTTCTACAGATTTATAACTTATTATCGGCTAAATAAAGAAGCTTTTGTTTTAGTTTTGGAAAAATCCGCAAAGCTTACTGCACCACCAACTCCATCGACACTTTTATACAATCCGCAAATTCTGATTAAACTGTTCTCGTGTTCACTGAAAACATATTGATTGATATCACCACCACCAGTTCCTCGCAAGTCCTTTTTATTATGGCACATCTTCGCCTTAACATTTCCTTTCCAATCTGACCAAACTTTCTTCCATTCTTTACAGGTTTTACTTGGTGGTTTTACTGAACTATTCAGCAAAGCTGTCAATTCCGTCCATAGAGAATCAACAACAACCTTATCACCTTTTACATAGCCCCTGGCAATATCGTGATGTTTATCCATAAAATTGATAAAAATTTTGTCCTGTTTAACGTTTCGGTGTTTGCCCCTAAAGTATAAAATAAATTAAATAAACAGTTTTTGACGAAAATTTAGAAATATGTATGTAAATATTTACATTTTTGCCCGATTGACTGAAGCGCTCTGTCTCCAACCAAACAATAAATTGTTTTTTTGTTTTTCCCCTTTCTTGCTTTTTGGTCTGTCAGTTGTACATTTCTACACCTTCTTCTTCAACACATATGGCAATAATTCAACAATACAAGTCTGCCGTTCATTTCTGCATATTTTTTTGCGTTTTCATCATGGATTAGAAAAATAATAGATTTTTTAAAAACAAATTCCAAAAACATGTTCATTCTAAGAGAATTTGGTTAATACAATATTTTCTGTTAAATGTATGTGTCTTCTGTTTATTTTTTACGTTAAAATCACTAAACATTTCAATTTCACCCTGCTTTTTGAAAGTGATATCAAAACGCAAAATTTTTGCGTTTTCCGTTTTTTAGAGAAGCTAAAACCGTTTTCGTTTTCACTCTTGAACGATTTTACATTCTGTGACATGCCTGTATGTCTGGAGTATTTTGGAAAACAAGGTTGGCACTAAAAAATACCAAAGTGTCGATCACCTCAAGCAAGCGCTTCGTCGGGAATGGGCCAAAAGACCACAGAGCAACATTCGGCCAGCGTGTGACGGTTTCATTGGCCGTTTTCTGCCATAATTCGTGCCAAAGTTGACCAATTCGAACAAATCTAAACTTATTCTAAAATTTGATGCTATTTCCGACATTGTTTGCTTTCACTCAATAAAATTTAAAAAAATGTAAAAATTATGGCGTTTGACTTTGCTGCAGTTTTTTTTATCTCACCCTGTATGTATACTAAATGGTCCTAAATTTTGTACAGATTGAAATTGTGATAAAAGTTCGAACTTTAACTTTTGGAAATGTTCTAAAATGTTGACATTAGGGTCGTTGTTCATATGTAGGCTGGACATGTGCAGGTGGTTTCTGAAATATTTTGTTTAGGTGAGATAAAGTTCTGAAATTTGATGTTTAGATTAATGTTGGTATTTGTGTTTGAGATTTGTCGGTGGTTTGGAAATGCGACCTACAAAAGTACTAAATGGTAATAAATTTGGAATTGGGTGAAGGTATGGGACTGGAATCCTCAACTTTGATATTGAGGTCTATGTTGGTATTTGGGATTGAGATATGGAGGTGGTTTTACAAATGTGTACTACAAATGCACGAGAAGTACTAAGTGTTACTAATTTTGGCATTGAGTGAAGTGATGGAGCTGGAATCCCAAAATTTGAAATTGGGGTTGGTAGTGGAGTGGTTTTGGAAAAGTGTATTGCAAGTGCACAAAAAGTACTAAATAGTACTATATTTGGTCCAATTCGGTATTGAGTAAACTGATAGTGCTTGAAATCCGAAATTTGGTATTAGGGTCGCTGTTTATGTATAGCACATGTCTAGACTTTACCGGATAGTGTGACATTGTCGAAAAACCCGATTTCAAGAACTGTAAATTCAATTTAGAATCGATTTTTACGCATTTCTATGTATTTCTCGTATTTGAAATAACTATAAACAGGAACTTCGAATTCTGAAAAAAATATCCGATCAATTTTTAATTGAATGAAACACATTCAATATTTCCTTTTTATAATCAGAGTATTTTTTATTTATTTCTGAAAACTGAAAATGATTTCAGTTAAGACACACACAAACTTTTTGTCTGCTACAATAGCCGCCACGTTTCTTCAGCAACAGACAATGCGCCTGACATGACACTTTGCCAATTCCAAGCCATGCCAATACATCACAGGTGATTACTTTTACGCGGCCATATGCATCAGCTTCGGTGTTGGAACCATCTTCCGCAACGACTACATCGTTGTGTTGTCCTTCATTTGAGGTGACCACAGGTCCAGCAGAGGTGCTGTAGACCAAACAGGCCAATAGAACTAATGCAATGGAAGCGGTTGTGAACAATTTCATGATTGAGATTTGAAAATGTAATTTCTTGGCGACCGTTAAAACAATAATGGGTCTAGAATTACTTGAAGGTGTGAATTTATACTAAAATTGTTTGGTTTTTTGAATAGCTCTCGTATAAAAGGGAACTTACAGTTGGCCACGAGTTCTTGATAAATCATTTTTTTTAATTTCAAAGTAAACACTTAAGGATTATATATGACGTAGAATTTGATGATACTTGATTTCAGACATTTTAAATTTTTTTTTTTTATTTGTAGCACTTTTCATAGAGCTTGGTTGCCACCGGCTAAGAGTATTAAATAGAAACCACTTAAAACCTTGTTGATCGAAGGCTCACGAGCAAAATTGAGATATATTAAATTTGGGAGAGATATATTACATTTGGGAGATATTGAAAAGTTAGCAACTATTGGAATTTACGCCAATATTTTTGCAGGGAAACTGTAGACACTCTGAAAGTCAAAATATTAGCACTCAAGAATTCCTCAAAATTAGGATGATTGATTGCTAACAATCCGTAATAGCTACAAAATAACGAATATCGAGCGGTACCGCAAAATATAGTAATATGGACATATGTAGAACACTTTGTGTTAAATCGTAAATAAATTTGATTTAAAATGAAGCAATACAGGGTGAGATGAAAAAACTGCAACCCACTTGAGGCTGCTGTTCTTTCTAAGCCACTCGTCCGACAGCTGTTAAAATTATTCCACTGACAGCTCATTACATTGTTTAAAAGCGTCCTAAAACATTTTGGTGAGAATTTTCCAGAAAAATAGTTATTCGTGATGGAATTCAAGTGTGATAGTGTGATTTCTTTATATTTGGCTGGAAAACCACAAGTGGCTATCGTTAGAGCACTCCAGCATTTAACTGCGAATAAATCTTTTGTGTCTCGTACCATCGGTAGTACGGCACCGTAATACTGGTAGCGTAGCCCAAGTGGACGGAAGAAAACAGCCACATCAGCAGAAATGGTTCGAAAAGTAAAGAAGTGATTTGACCGAAACCAGCGTCGCAGTGGCCGAAAAATGGCTTGTGAGCTGAACATATCGCAATATTCCGAATGGAAATTCGGTAAATATTGAAAATTCAGTTCGGGGTAAAGCCATTGAAATTCCAAAAAGTGCAAGTGCCGCAGAACTTACTCCGCAACAGAAAGGAAATAGACTCAAAAGAGATAAAAAGTTGCTTCCATTGGTCGAAAGTGGTGAACTGCCGAATTTGGTTTTCTCCGATGAGAAAACATTCGTTGACAAAGACGTCAGCTGAAAATGTGCACCTTCGGTTGGCCACCAGAATTCAAGCGCTGGCCATGGTGATGGTGTGGGCCGCCATAACAAACGATGGTCGCTCTCCGCTCGTATTAATCGACCATGGCATCAGAATAAATGCCGAATATTATTGCGAAAATATACTGGAGGGCGTATTAATGCCTGGGGCACACAAACATTTGGGCACTCAGCACGCGCCACCCAAGACTGGTTACAAAATGAGGTTCCTCGCTTCATTTGCAGCGCACAATGGCCACTAAAATCTCCGGATACTAATCCGTTGGACTATTGTGTCTGGAGTATTTTGAAAAGCAAGGTTGGCACTAAAACAATACCAAAATCTCGATCACCTCAAGCAAGCGCTTTGCCGGGAATGGGCCAAAATACTGCAGAGCAACACTCGATCGGCGTGTGACGGTTTCATTGGCCGTTTGAAGGCCATACTTCGTGCCAAAGTTGACCAATTCGAACAAATCTAAACTTATTCTAAAATTTGATGCCACTTCCGACATTTTTTTCTTTCATTCAATAAAATTGAAAAAAAAAAAATGTAAAAATTATGGCGTTTGACTTTGTTGCAGGTTTTTTTTATCTCACGCTGGACATCGGTACACAATGGATAGTGCTTGTAATTTCGGTGACATTTTACAATTTATTCGCCCACAAAAAAAAATTAATGCAGGGCATACCAAAGAAACCCTTTCGATTTTAAGTTTTTTAAGATATCTGGAAATTTTTGAAAATTTTTTATCGAAGTCTGGCAGGTTTAAAATATGGACCACAATTTATTTACACAAATTTTGAAATATATTTCGTTTTTAGTTACGACAATTACAAACTCTGCGCGAATCGCAATAACCGCCACGTCTTCCCACAGCTATGCAACGAGCAGCACACAAACTATCGCCATAGAATCCCAATAGATCACAACTGACCACCTGGTGGCGTCCAAGGGCATCAGATTCGGAAGTAGAGGACGACTCATTTTCAGCGGCCTCAGAGCCATCAGCCTCATTTTCTGATGCTGCCATGGCGAAGCTAGTCAGGCAGACAACCAATAGCAAGGTGACGACACTTACGAAGAAGATTTTCATGGTGAATAATATAATTGTTTGTTTCGTGGTTGTATTTTCTTGGGTATTTATACTTGTCCGGAATGTACGTAAATAATTAGGAAACAATTAGTAGGTTTGTCATTTACAAAATATTGTTAAAGTTCCGATAATTTGACAGTAGATTAATGAGCCAGACAATTATGGTAATATGTATTAGCATTCCAAACAGTAAATTTCACGTGCTCATTTAACTGCATACATGCGTTGTAGTTATGCGATATCTGGAAATTAGTTTAGAATTTAAATTTTAGAAATTTTTTAATGGCGCCCAACGTGCAAACTCGAAATTTAAAAAAAAAAAAAACTATTATAGATATCGAGGTTATAAAGGAATTCTTTAAAAGAATATAAAAATTAAAACTCGTTGTGTTGTATGAAATTTAAAAAGTGGTTTAAAATGGCGCCCAACGTGGAGCTTTACAGTTGATAAAAAATACTTATGCCCTAATACCTGGGAAGTAAGCTCTTTATATTTTACTAAGACGCATTCAATAAAAAAATTTCACTCCACCACATTTTTTATTAAAAATTACCCAAAAAATTCATGGCTTTTCATTTAAAGGATTAGAAGTAGCATTAAAATTGTCGAATACACTGTGATGGAGTTAATAAAATGTGTGTAGTTGTATGCAAAATTATCCTATAAAGCATACATTTGGAAGAATGGTACCAAAGACAAATATATTCCTGATCAAATTTCCCAATACAGAGATAAAATAACTGCAAACAAAGTCAAACGCCATAATTTTTACTTTTTTTAAATTTTCTTGAATGAAAGCAAAAAATTTCGGAAATAGCATCAAATTTTAGAATAAGTTTAGATTTGTTCGAATCGGTCACATTTGACACGAATTATGGCCTTCAAACGGCCAATGAAACCATCACACGCTGCACGAATGTTGCTCTGCGGTATTTTGGCCCTTTACCGGTGAAGCGTTTGCTTGAGGTGAACGACACTTTGGCCCACCTTGTTTTCCAAAATACTCCAGACACAATAGTCCAACGGATTGGTATCCGGAGATTTTGGTGGCCATTGTGGCCGCTGGAAATGAAGCGAGGAACCTCATTTTGTATCCATTCTTGGGTGGCGCGTGCTGAGTGCGATGGTGCTAAGTCCTGTTGGAATGTTCAAGGTCTGCGGCCAAAATGTTTGCGTGCCCAAGGCTTTATTACACCCTTTAGAATATTTTCGCGATAATATTCGGCATTTATTCTGATGCCACGGTCGATAAATACGAGCGGAGAACGAACATCGGCTGTTATGGCGGCCCACATCAACATCATGGCCGACGCTTGAATTCTGGCGGCCAATCGAAGGTGCACATTTTTAGCTGACCTCATTGGCAAGTAAACACGATCATTTTTTTTTGTTTACAAACTGCTGGACAACGAATTTTTTCTCATCGGAGACGGCGAAAACCAAATTCGGCAGTTCACCATTTTCGGCCAAGCGAAGCAAGTCTTTGGCTCTTTTGAGTCTAGTTTCTTGCTGTTGCGCTGTAAGTTCTTGCACTTTTTGGCATTTCAATGGCATTACCTCGAACTCATTTTTCAATATTTGCCGAATAGAATATTGTGATATGTTCAGCTCACGAACCATTTTTCGGCCACAGCGACGCGGGTTTTGATTAAGTCGCTTCTTTACTTTTCGAACCATTTCTTCTGATGTTGCTGCTTTCTTCCGTCGGGCTACGCTACCAGTATCACGGTAACGAGCGATAATACGAGACACAAAGGATTTATTCACATTTAAATGCTGGAGTGCTATAACGATAGGCACTTGTCGTTTCCCCACCAAATATAAAGAAATCACACTATCGCGCTTGAATTCCATCACGAATAACTTTTTTTCTGGAAAATTCTCAACAAAATGTTTTTGTACGCCCGTAAACAATATAATGAGCTCTCACTGGAATAATTTTAACAGCTGTCGGACGAGTGGCTTAGAAATGACTGAAGTTGGTTGCAGTTTTTTCAGTCACCAAAGGCAAGAAATCTATATTTCCATGATACAACCAGAAAACATTTCCATAAATGCAAAACGAAATAAAAAATTAAAAAAATATGTTTTTTCTCATGGAAGTTATTTTTTAAAATAACTTCTGGGGAGAATATCCTAGACAAAAACAAGGGAACTTATGGGGATTGGTGGCTCTTTCCGAAACCTAGGTATCGCCTGCCTTACCCCCTGTTAAACATTACCATCGTTCTCCACTAATAAACAAATGTTGTTTTTATAAAAAAAAGCAATAAAGGGATTAAGCCTGACCATTTTGCAAAAACAAAAAAAAATCCTATTTTTTTTGATCAATTTTTCTTCGGACTCGGATGCATAGAAGTAACTTAAATTTTAATTTTGGGCATAAAATATCAATAGGTCTTAGGATTTTATGGTACTGCTTAATTTTTATTACATTTTACATAACTTCCAAAAATTTTACACATTTAAATATTAACTTAAAAGTGGAAGATCCCTTACCATCGACTTCATATATAGCTGAACTCAACCCTTAACAATTATTTCGTGAAAACCTGTTCCTTTCTGTTGTATTCCTGAGAAACCTTTTATATTTTTATAACAAAATCATTTTTCGTTCACATTTTCAATAGCACAATTTTATTGTAATTTCACAACCATTAACGTTTTTCGAATAATTAATTCAAATTTGAAAACTAAGACCATTAATCAGTGCACACGCAAAAGCCGCCTTTACAAAATCCTTGATTTTTGCCACGAGCTCGACAGGGAATACTGCAGGTGCTGCCTCGGTTTTCAAAACTTAGTATACATGGAATTTTATTGATCTCACGTTTGCTGAATTTCGCAACTTCACCAGTATTGGATTCCTCCCCGTCCACAGCCCTGACGTTGAAGCTGCAGTAGAACAAAACTAGCAGAGTTATTGTAAACAATTTCGAAAACTTCATGGTGATTGGTATGAGTTAAGCTAAACTGATGCTGCATTGATTTGAACAGTTCTTTAAATAGCTCAGCCAGGAGCATCACTGTGACTTGAATTTTTGTTGTAAAATGCTAAATCATTAAAAAATTTACAAAAAACTCATGATTTTGATTAATTTAATTTTTTATGGAATGATAATTAATTTATTCGAATTTATTTGAATTGTTTTTTTTTTAATATCTTAATATAACTTCAGCTACATAATATTTGTGTTACATTCAAACACATGTAACTTGAAAATATTTCAACCCAATTTCGAAAATACTTTTATCTTCAGAAGACCTTTAAGAAGTTGTCCATCTAAAGAAGATCCTCAAAATAATAATAATTATCATAAAATAACTTCTGGGGATCCTCCAAGACAAAAGAATAAGGACACTGCTGAGGATTGGTAGCTCTTTCCGAAACCTGCCTTACCCCCTGGTAAACATTAGCATCGTTCTCCACTAACAGGCAAACGTTGTTTTTATAAAAACAATATTAATGGGATTAAGCCTGACCACAAGCTTTATTCAGTTGAGGTGAAATGATACAACTAAACGGGAACATCTCTCATTGTAGATCTTTAAAACCCTCCGGGACCACATTTTTTCTTACAGACAATATATGTATAGTATCGATACAACTATTTACAGAAAAGTCAAAACAACTTTAAAAATTAACGTGCAGGTGTAGTTAAGGCTATGGAATAGATAATCCACGTTCCAATAATTATTTCACTCATCAATTTACTGTCACAATTTCTAAATCACATGGTTGGTATAAATATTCCTGGATTGTTCATTACAAAAGCAAAGTTTTGCTATTCACCATGAAAAACACCTACGTAACGCTCATAACCCTACTTGTGGTCATCTGCTTGATCCACTACTCCATAGCAGCGCCAACAACTGTTACTATAGGGTCAAGTGTGAATCGAAACGATTCAAATCTTGATGAACATGGACGCATCCAGGTTTTTAGTTGTTTATGGTTTCTTATCGATATGTGTTCTCCATACTGCATAGCCAGAGGTAAAGGTCGGGGTTATTGCAATGGTGCAAGAGTTTGTGTTTGTTATTATTAAGTAATGGTTTTATCTTTTCTACGAAACAAATAAATAAAATTCAAAATTCAATTCACAGGCCTTTAAACTTCAATTCAAAGGTCATCCAGGTAGACATATACTGGCGGACGTCTTAAAAAAGGCTTCACATTTTGAGGAAGACTTTCTGAAGGCGTTCCATATGTGGAAAATCTTCCATAGATATTTTATGTATAGAAGAAAGTTAGTCTTCCACAGCTCTTCCACAGATAGAAGACCTCTGTATGACTTACATACAGGGTGAGATGAAAAAACCGCACCAACTTCAGGCTGCTGTCATTTCTAAGCCACTCGTCCGACAGTTGTTGCAAATTATTCCAGTGACAGCCCATTATATTGTTTACAAGCGTACAAAAGCATTTTGGTGAGAATTTTCCAGAAAAAAAGTTATTCGTGATGGAATTCAAGCGTGATACGTGTGATTTCTTATTTGGCTGGCTATCGTTAGAGCACTCCAGCATTTAAATGTGAATAAATCCTTTGTGTCTCATACCATCGCTCTATACCGTGACCGTGATACTGGTCGCGTAGCCCGACGTCAAGGAAGTGGACAGAAGAAAACAGCAACATCAGCAGAAATGGTTCGAAAAGTAAAGAAGTGACTTGATCGAAACCCGCGTCGCAGTGGCCAAAAAATTCCATTCGGCAAATGTGAAAAATGGGCTCGAGGTAAAGACATTGAAATTCCAAAAAGTGAAAGAACTTACACCGCAACAGAAAAAATAGACTTAAAAGAGCTAAAGGGTTGCTTCGCTTGGCCGAAAGTGGTGAACTGCCGAATTTGGGTTTCTCCGATGAGAAACATTCGTTGTCCAGCAGTTTGTAAGCAAACAAAACGGTGTTTACTTGCAAAGAGGTCAGGTAAAAATGTGCACCTTCGGTTGGCCACCAGAACTTAAGCGCCGGCAATGGTGTGGGCCGCCATAACAGCCGATGGTCGCTCTCCGCTCGTATTAATCGACCGTGGCATCACAATAAATGTCGAATATTATCGCGAAAATATTCTGGAGGGTGTATTAAAGCCTTGGGCACGCAAACATTTTGGCCGCAGTACTTGGAAATTCCGACAGGACTCAGCACAATCGCACGCAGCGCGCGTCACCCAAGAATGGTTACAAAATGAGGCGATAATGCATGTGTGTGAGAAAACAAGAATATCATAATAATAAATAAAACTCTCAGTATTGTTGTTATTATGCCTTTATTATTGTTGTTTGTTCATAAATCTTTTATTCTATCGAAAACTTAACGACAACGGCAAATAGCTCTGCCGTCGCAATATCCACCACTCTTTCCAATCAACAAACAGTGAGCGGCACACACCGAATCTTTGACACCCCAGGCACTGAGTAAATCGCAGGAAACTACTGGGACACGGCCAAAAGGATCAGGTTGACCAGCTGCTCCAACTACCGACTCTGGACGAGCAGTGGCCGAGTGGAAGGCCAAACAGGCCAAGACGAAGACGGCAAAGGAGAGAACTTTGAAGAATTTCATTGTTGTTCTGTTTAAAGAGAAACTTTTTGATGTGATCACAGTTCGGCAGTGTTTCAATATTTATATGAAATTTTGATTGGAAAATGTGCCACACTTGTCTGGGTTTGAAGATTTTTGTGGAGTATTTGATGTTGTTGCCACTTACATTGAGTGGTTTTAGGAGAACTATTTACATTGTATAAAACGAGATACTTTACAATTTTTTGTAAATAATCATTTTGTTTTTTTTTCTAAATAATGAAACTATTTGAACTCTGTGAAAAATACCTCGACCGTTATGAACCTTTTGAAAAGACCGTATTATCCGTTGAAATTATTATACTCTCCACCTTGAAAAGGAGGGTATATTAACTTTGTCATTTCGTTTGTAACATCCCTAAATATTCTTCGTAGACCCCATAAAGTAAATATATTCATAATCAACTTAAAATTCTACGTCGATTTAACGATATCCGTCTGTCTGTTGAAATCACGTTACAGTCCACATTATTTGACGTAGAGTTTCAAAATTTGGCAGAACAATTTGCATTGTGTCTAGGATGGTTGGTGTTGAAAATGAAGTATATCGGTCCACGTTTTGGTATAGTCCCCATATAACAGAACCTCCGGATATTCAGTATTTTTATGACTTTTGCCACATTTTTTCGCCGATTTGTCTAAAAATAACGGTACCTCCCGATATTCGGTATTTTCATGATTTTTGCTGATGATTTTTTCATGATTTTTCCACTGATTTTTCTGAAAATTTGTATTTGTTGGTCATAATAGGTTCTACCTCGTGGGGCGAAACATTGTATATAGGTCCACTTTTTATACAGCCCCCAAATGACGGTACCTCTCGGTATTCGGTATTTCGATGATTTTTGCTACATTTTTCCTCAGTTCCTGAGGAAATTTTTTTCTATCGAAAAAAGTCTCCTCAGTTCCTGAGGAAATTTTTTTCTATCGAAAAAAGTCTCCTCAGTTCCTGAGGAAATTTTTTTCTATCGAAAAAAGTCTCCTCAGTTCCTGAGGAAATTTTTTTCTATCGAAAAAAGTCTCCTCAGTTCCTGAGGAAATTTTTTTCTATCGAAAAAAGTCTCCTCAGTTCCTGAGGAAATTTTTTTCTATCGAAAAAAGTCTCCTCAGTTCCTGAGGAAATTTTTTTCTATCGAAAAAAGTCTCCTCAGTTCCTGAGGAAATTTTTTTCTATCGAAAAAAGTCTCCTCAGTTCCTGAGGAAATTTTTTTCTATCGAAAAAAGTCTCCTCAGTTCCTGAGGAAATTTTTTTCTATCGAAAAAAGTCTCCTCAGTTCCTGAGGAAATTTCCGGCCGAACTTAATGTTTTTTACTTGTTGTATTTCGTGAATTTTTCTAAAATAAATTTCTCTGAATTTAAGTATAACCATTTATAAAATGTAGTATAAAATTGGGATATATAAGTCTAATTTTAACCACCTGTAAACGTCAGAACAGCGACTAACATTCTATATTGTATATAGAGTTTTAATACCTTTGGTGCCCAATTCTTACCTACGGCCAATACACGTGATGTACGGACACAAATATGAACTAATTTACATAAATTTCTAAGCTGCTCCGAAATCGGCACGTGAAGTTTTGCGCTTGGAAAAGCTAATGTATATTCCAATAATTGCTTGTCATTTTGTTGATGACAGTTGTATATCTTTACCATAATTATTACAAATACCTTACGAGCAAGTATAAATATCCGAGAAATTGTAACCCAGAAAATTAAGTTCTACGCCATGAAAACAATCTGCGTAATATTCGTTACCTCGCTACTGGTTGTCTGCTGGGGCAGCTACTGTATGGCAGCATCTTCTAATGAGGCAAATGCCGCTAAAAATGATTCTTCACAAAATTCAAAACCAGACGTTAATGTTCCTATCCCTGTTTTTAGTTGTGATTTGCAGGGCGTATTTGGTAGTACTCTGTGCTCTCTGCACTGCATAAATATGGGAAAACGTGATGGATATTGCAATTCTCAGCGATTTTGTATTTGCCGCAACTAAGTTATTGTTCTAATACTTTATAAAATAAAAAAAATATTTTTCATAAAATTTAAGGCTTTCAATATAAATTGAGATGTTCTCTCACAGGTGTGTCATAAACAGGTCTTCCTTAAATTGAAGTCCTCACAATAATCTTCAATATAAACAAGTAAAAAAGCTGTAAGTTCGGCCGGACCGAACTTTGAATACCCTCCACCATTCGGTACAAACTTGGTAATTTTCAAAAAATTAAAATCCATTAGGGTCTATACGACGACATGAACCTGCACACGCAACTTTTGTCATAAGCCTGCACAGACAATTGTCTGGTATAGGCTATAGTATCCATTACGAACTTCAAATACAAAATTTGAAATAATTCCAGTAAATAATGTGGGGTACCGTTATATGGGAGGCTATACGAAGACATGGACCTGCACGGACAATTTTCTTTCACAGGCTGTAATATCCATTACGAACTTCAAATACAAAATTTGAAATAATTCCGGTAAATAATGTCGCTAAGATTATCAAAATACCGAATATCGGGAAGTACCGTTATATGAGGGCTATACGAAGACGTGGACCTACATGGCCCGTTTTCTGTCTTAGGCTGAAGTATTCAGTACAAACTTCAAATACCAATTTTGAAACAATTCAGGTAAATAATGTCATCAAAATACCGAATATTGGGAGATACCGTTATATGGGGACTATACGAAGATGTAGGTCCAAGAAAATGGGCCATCATTACCAAAAGTCCTGCAGACATAATACACATTTGAGTAAATTTTTATCACCAAAATTAGGCCTGAAAATAAGTATGCCAAATTTGATCGAAATCGCTTCAGATATAGCTATAGCTCCCATATATATTGTTCATCCGATTTGTTATTTTTGTCCTCCGCAGACGTAATATGCACCCTGTAATAACAATATTTGGGGAAATATATCAAATACAGCTCAGAAATACCTTTGCTAAATTTTATCGAGATCGGTTCAGATTTGTATATAGCTCCCATATATAACTTTGTCCGATTTACCTTTTATTGTGCACCAAACGTCTAATATTTGCCCAAATGGGATGAAATTTGGCACTTACAACCGAATTGAGTCTAGAAGCTAGTATGTCAAATTTGGTGAAGATCGGTTCAGATATAGCTATAGCTCCCATATATACTCTTCATCCGATTTGTCATATTTATTACCCTCAGCCGTAATATGTACTCTGTAACAACGATATTCAGGGAAATATATCAAATTAGGCCTGAAAATAAGTATGCCACATTTGATCGAAATCGGTTCAGATATAGCTATAGCTCCCATATATATTGTTCATCCGATTTGTTGTATTTGTTTTCCCACAGCCCTAATATGCACTCCGTAACAACGATATTCAGGGAAATATATCAAATACAACTCAGAAATACATTTGCTAAATTTTATCGAGATCGGTTCAGATTTGGATATAGCTGCCATAAATATCTTTATCCGATTTTAAATTAATTGTGCACCAAATGGACAATACAAGTCCGAATTTAAAAGGTACAAATGCTTCGCCATATTTAGTGCTTTGAACTTAAAATTATAATTCTAATCATGGCGCATACGATTAAATTCTCCCACAAAAATTTTAATTGTTATGCGGAGCTCTACTAAATTAGCAAAGTGATGTAGGGTATCATAAAGTCAGCCCCGCCTGACTTTAGGACTTTCTTTACTGGTTTTTAGTTTTTGCTATGTATGCCATTGGTTAATATGCTTGGGAAAACCCGAGGAACTTCATCACCTATACGGACAGTCTGGTCGACCCCGATTTAAAGCAAATCCTGGTAGAGTCGTCACTTTATAAATATGTTTTTTTTTTATCAATAGCACATGAATAAAACTCTTAGTATTTCTTTGGTTATGCCTTTATTATTTTAGTTTGTTCAAAAATTCCATCATTTATTCCATCGAAAACTTAACGACAACGGCAAATACCTCTGTCGCAATATCCACCACTTTTTCCCAGCAACAAACAGTGGGCAGCACACACCGAATGATTGACACCCAAGCCACTGAGCAAATCGCAAGAAACTACTGGGACACGGCCATAAGGATCAGGTTGACCAGATGCTGTTTCGGCTGCTCCAACTACAGATTCTGGACGAGCAGTGGCCGAGTGGAAGGCCAAACAGGCCAAGACGAAGACGGCAAAGGAGAAAACTTTGAAGAATTTCATTGTTGTTCTGTTTAAAGAGAAACTTTTTTAGTATGATCACCCTTCGGCGGTGTTTCAATATTTATATAAAATTTTGATTGGAAAATGTGCCACACTTGTCTGGGTTTTAAGATTTTTGTGGAGAATTTGAAGTTGTTGCCACTTACATTGAGTGATCTTAGGTGAACTATTTACATTTTATAAAATGAGATACTTTAGATTATTTGTAAATAATTGTAATTTTTTTCTTAATAATTAATCTGTTGAAAGTATTTGAAAATTTTAAGTATTTTATTGCGTAATTTTTAGTTGAAAACGATAAGAAAATGGTTATTGATAACATTTGATGTGAACTACTTAACATATATATATCGAAATATCTAAAACAGTAACTCAAACGTCCAAAATTCGTTGGGTCCATTATGCATAGCATGAATTTTAATAATTTAAGATATCAGAAAAAACTATTAAAATTTATGAGAATTTTTGAGATGTTGCATCTGTCGAATTGAGATGCAAATTTGGATATACTTCCAAAAATTCTTAAGTTGAATCTCACATATACCTATCAACAACATTTCTTCCTAGTTTGAGATACTTTGTCATTTTTCGTAACAATTCTTAATCAGTGACGAATATTAAACATTTAACGTTCGGCGCATGGTAGAAGTATACAGGTATATGTATCAGCACGTGTGAAAATTGACATGTTAAAACCAGTAAGGAAAGCTCAAAAGTCGGGCGGGCCGACTATATGATACCCTACACCACTATGCATATTTAGTAGAGCTCTCGTAAAAGGGCTTATACAGGGCATTTCAGAGCTCTATGAGATATTTGGTACATAATC